TTATCTGTGTTAATGTTTACAGTTAGGATCTGACTTACCTGTGAAATTAGTTAATTAGTTATGTTTACACTAACACTGACTTACCTGTGAAATTAGTTAATGTTTACAGTTAGGATCTAACACTGACTTACCTGTGAAATTGGTTAATGTTTACAGTTAGGATCTAACACTGACTTACCTGTGAAATTAGTTAATGTTGACAGTTAGGATCTAACACTGACTTATCTGTGAAATTAGTTAATGTTTACAGTTAGGATCTAACACTGACTTACCTGTGAAATTAGTTAATGTTTACAGTTAGGATCTAACACTGACTTACCTGTGACATTAGTTAATGTTTACAGTTAGGATCTAATTTACAGTTAGGATCTAACACTGAAGATAAAATAGTACTTGGGCAAATTCACTGAACATATCCTGATTTATTTTAAATATTTTAAAAGCTTATGAGCAAACTTGTGTCATTGAATGTTTTCCAGAATCAGACAATGTATATATATTTTCTGGTGTTTAGTCAGTGCCTGAAGTTTATCTATGCAGATGTTTGATTATCTCCCTTGTTGGTTGTGCCCCCATACCACCCTTGACAATTACACATATAAAATATCATCTGCTTAAGTTAACTTCTGGTATTCATGCCAGTATTAATTAGTAAAATCTGATTGCACATTTTAATTTATCAAGAATTTGTTCATTTTACACTATCAAAACATATGTTTTAATTTTGAGGACTGTATGTAATTTTGCAAGGGAATGTATCGTGCTCAACATCTTTATTAAAGTATTAAGGACACATATACTGGTAGTCTAAGAAGTCAAAATCTTGTATAACCTGAAAATATTATGTATAATCTTTGGTAAGGAGAGAGATACACTGATCATATCTTACATTTATTGATAATGAATACACCGTGTGTTACAATGAAGTAGTCAGTACTATTTAAGTATTATATGTACACCCTTTTTTTTGTGAAAAAATATACATTCTATTTATACAGAATGTATTCTGTTTTCAAATGTGAAATGCATTAGCTGTCAACTTACCTGTTTATGAAGTAATTATTTTGTAGATACTTTTTTTGTAAATATTTTTATGTATGTTCACCTGTTTTTATGAAAACATGTATTGATGTTCAGTATATAGAATGAGATGTGAACCACAAGAGTCAGCAATCTAAAGAGCTACAATAGGATATATAATATAGTATATAGTATGCGCCAAAATATCTACTTTTTTTCCTAAACCAAAGAATGTCGGCGAATAGTTAAAGGTCATGTTACCATGGTTACCTTATTTTTCTGAAAGAATTGAAATCTTTAATTTCATTGTTATTATAAAGCTTTTGTCAAATTTTGATTAGATAATAAAATGGATGTGGGTAACTCTAGTCAATTTCTATCCATTCCAGCTCCCCCAGAAATCCATTGCTTTCCTGCAGTTGGAACAGAGTGACAAATTGTTGGAATTATTTCTTTGTTTTGTCACTAGTTTCCATATAAATTATGTACATCAAATGTACTGTACTATGAAAGAAAACATATTTTTACTTGTTTGGCTTAATTGATCATAATGTGCTTTATAGTAGAAATCAAGAGTATTAATCAGGTTTATTTACAAAAATTATGTGAAGAGCTATGTACTGTGCAAGCGGTGTATGTAAATATAGTGGGCTAACTCTGAACTTGTTGATGATGCCAGTGATGGCAGCTCTCATGTTGCCTTGTTGTGCTAAATTGGTAAAAAAGTGCATGTACTTGTAATTATACAAGTGTTTCATTAAGTATTTCATTTCATTCTACCTGGTAGTCTTTAATTCGTCTTGTCAAGATTAGGTCTATATTTTGTAGACATTTGAGTGCTGAAGCTGTCAGAATGTAAAACTAAAAGTCTTCTACAATTATATACATATGTATATTCTGTTTACACCTTGAATTGTATTTTGTGTTCTACATTATTCCAAGTTCTTGCTTCCAATAGCTCAATGAATGATATTGTAGGAAAATTATGCATACTAATACTTGTCTCATACAAGATACATATTTGTCAAAATTACCAATGAATTTTATGAAATATTTTACATTTTTAACAAGACTGCGACTTTATTTTCTTTTGCTTTGTAGGAAGTTCTAGTTGTAAAAGATAATTGAGCCAAAATAATGAAACATTTATTCAAAGTTAATTTATGTTATGGAGAAGGCTTCCATATCACTACATTTGTAGCAAATTCTGATTTTTGAGTGGTTACAAAAGTAATTTCATATTCCTAAATGATAACATGCCCTTATCCATTGTACATGTGTCAGATGTCAATTTCACCTAAGTAAACCCCTGAATGTTTCTTGAATGAGTGACCATAATCATGTTTGGAAATGTTTTGAATCGTGAAATTCTTAAAAATAATTTTGTGTGGGTAGCACAAACATGATGAGTTTAATTCTCAAACCTGACATCGAAAGTACAGTATGATGGTTCCAACAGTGGGAAATGATAATAGAAAAGATAATATCTATTTTCCAGCTACACTGTAGTATCCAGAATACCAGTAATCACCTTCCTGATTTAAGGATGTTCCATCCTGGACCTTTTCCTCGAAAATCTTGTATAGCTTCTTTTTTCATTGCATTTCTATGAAAAATTTCTCATCAAACATTCTCTCTTTAACCCTTACGCAATCAAATTTTCAGTGCTACATGCCAGTGTTTCTATTACGTTTATTTTTAGAAAATTAAAAAAAGAAGAAAGAAAAACCATGTTTATTGTTGTCTCTGTTTTTTGTAGTTGTATTTTGCCAAGTTTCTGTTTCGTCATTGTAACAGAAATTTATTTCTATGCGCTACTTAGACAGAAACTCACAAACTGTCTGTAATCCTTGTAAGAGTTAAGGCTGTATGCTACTCAATACACTGCCTGTAATAGTAAAGGTTTTCGTAAGTTATCACCCTTCAGACACTCCACTATATATATACAACACATGTAGTCTGTGTCCAAATTTACCTTGATGCACGTCGCCAGAACACTGACGTCCATCGGTTAGGTGATACCCAGACATGGGAAGAGTCACGGAGATGAAAACCTTGTCAACCAACCAACCAAATTTACTGATAAACTTTGAATGCATTCTGCAGATTTCATCATGATGAATCTATATAGTGTGTCTATTATCATCCATTGTAAATAAGCGATCAGAGCAAGAACTGAAACATTCCATTTAGTACAGTACAATCTTTTCATTTAATCTGTAAATGGCGTCATCACGAAAATAAAAGAGAGGGAAGAGGTGAGTCATTATACTTATATCACAAAAAGGAAATGGCGTACCCAACAATATGAAGGACACGTTATTTTGACCATTTGCCAGAGCCGCTGAGTATTTTTGTGGAGAACCATATACATCATACGTAAGCATTCAATACTGGTTGAATAGAGAGAAGATACACTTCACTTCAACAAGGGAGTTGGTCATGATTCTCTTTCAATGAAGTTTTGGTAACAAATTGCATTATCGGAATGTAAGCAATTTTGTTTTCTGTCTGGACTGAATGATGTTTGACAACTAGCTGTGCATGTTTTGTTTGTCGTTCGAGTTGTTACTAATTACAAATTATGTTGAGTTTTCCTCAACTCACACAACTTTGCAGCTATGTAGACCGAAGAAAAGAAAATATTGAAGAGATATCCTTTTATACGTTAAGATTTATTTTACGAATCCCAGGCACCCAGCAGTGGAAACAATGTGAAAATAGTGGTTGAAAGAATACTACTTGATTGCTCAAGTTAACACTGTATGGAAAAGAGAGATTCATGTACAATGTAGTGAACAAAACCTAATCCATCATTTAAAAAAATGGTGTTGCACCCTTCAAAATCAGTCAGTTCGTGCATATGAAGTTGAGCAATCGTAAATTCAAGTTTGGATTATTTGGCAAATCTATCTTTCAAATCACTATATATATGTTGCTGGTCAAAATCTTAGATGTATATTGCATTGGCAAAGAATCAGAATAGAATTATATGCCAAGTTCTGGGGTTGTTTCTTGCATTATTAATGGATTTTATGTGGCTAGTTTCATTATTCACCGTGATCTCGTCAAGTGACTGTTAAGAACGACAACTCTAGTAGAGATTGCCTTCAAGCGGTCTGGTATTCGTTCCGTTTTATTTCAAACAATATTTCATATTTTCTATTTAGTCATTGTCAATGAAACGCTTAATTATTGTGACATCTTACCGTAGAAGCAAGCGTACATGCGAACCCAAAACAGAAAGGCGGGCATTGTAAATTAAAAGATGAAGATCTATTTTAGCTTTTGAAGAAGTCCAGTCACGAGGTATTTACTATGCAAAACTTATTTTTAGCACACTTTCAAAGTGTACCGATTTGGGCCAGTTTCTTCCCTTGCATTGGAAACGGTCGATGAAAATAAACATAACTGTCCAGCTGTTTTGGTTTCCCCGATAACGTTATGCTTGTTTTTAAATTTGAAAAGCACTGAAATAGTTAAGTCTTCCGCTGAACACTTTTGTCACCGTAGCCGTATCTTCATTATTGAAATATTAAGCGATTCATATTTGAAAATATTCAGCCACCACATATATAACGCGCATATCAACACACGTCATATCGTACTATAAGGTAATATCTGGTGATACGAATATACTGCCTCACGAACTTACTAGAATTATGTGCAGTGTGCTCATCTGCACAAGTTGAATGGTTAAAGTATGTTAAATTCAAGACCAGACTGTCGAGAGTCATTGATGAAAAAGTTGAGTATTAGTGGATGGAGTGAAAAATGGGCTAAAGTGAAGAATTCAGAAAAAAAGTGCACGAAGAAGGTTAAAAACAGAGTAAAGTTATGCCTTTGATTTAAGGAGATAGATGGAAAGCAATGATGACGTACCAATACAGATACACTACATACAATTGTGCATCTCAAAAGCAAGACAAGGTAAAGGAACCAAAAACTGTTATACCTGTTTATTCTACTTTTCATTCCAGATGAGTCATAACCGGTCACACTTTGAGTGCTCTTCTACCAATAATGAAGTGTCACAGCAGCTTATTATTAAAAATGCATTTGACCGATTATATGAGCGAAGTCCACTGCCCGAGGTAAGCAGAATGAGGACATGATACTAAAAATCTTGTTGAACAGTTTATACAACTGATAACTGGCTATTTTAACGTATCGCATTTACATCCTTTTGATTAATTAACTGATTATTGTAAAAAGAAATGCTGTTTCCTAAGAGGAGTGCCTACGCAATTTATGTTTAGGTTATATAACTGATACTATGAAAATATAGGTTAACTCTTGATAAATCTGACTGAATTTTATTGTTCTCTTATATAAGTGTTGTAAAATTACAGTGATCATGAGGAAAAAACACTACTTGTCCATATATTGCAAAAATTAACTTGTAACATATTCAATTTACCCAGTATATCATTGTTTTTTTTGGGCCGCATACAGATTATTGGTTAGAATTACCGTATTTTACTGCAAATTAGCCCCCCCTCCAGTTAAAAAACAGACTGTCAAAAGAGGGGAGGTAATGCTTTTGTTTTGCATTTGGGTTTGCCCCAGTTTTTTCTTTTTTTTGGGGGGGTGGGGGGAGGGGATTATCAATTGAGAGGGAATTTCTAAGAAGTGAATTGTATATTTTTGTGAATTTGCCCAAATTACAAAATAAATCAAATTGGGATTGGGGCCCATATTTGGCATAAAAGAGCCCCCAGAAATAGCCCTGATCTCAAAATCAATGTGTCTATTAATCCTTTTTATACTGTGAGGTTAGTTTCACAAAATTCAATAAAAGTTGCCATATTTAAAACTTTACCAAAATGCAAGCGAAATATATCTGATACGTATGTCATACTTTAATATTTATATTGCTTGTTCATGCGTTTTCACTCATAACAAGAAAGAGATATGCTTTTTTACCTTCTGCACTGCAGACCTGTAAATTGCATGACATCACATGATGGTGAGCAGTAAAAATTGCTGATTGAAGAGCAATTCTTCCTGGGCATGTGTGATGCAGTTTTTACAAAATGCAATGATTATCTAACAAAAAAACAGACAAATAAGTGACAGTACCATACCCGACATGCTCCAACAACATTGCGTTCCTTGCGTTCCTTATGTTTATGTATAAGAATGTCTTATTCCTGCATTCAATTTCACAGAGAACTAGCAAAAATCTTGTACTTTTGTGACTGTCTTGTAAGATATTTATTTGCTTCTCAGTTTATTTGAAAGTAAGCAAATACAGTTTGCATGTTAAGTGCTTTGTGTAAATTATCTTTCATATATTAAGAAATCATTACTATTTCATGAGATGTATCTCTGGTCAACTAGAAAAATAGGCCCTAGTTTACATGTAAAAAGTCTTCTGTACCTGTGATTGAAACTATTTGGAACAATTATTTTTTCTTATCATACGCAAAATATGCAAAAATTAATCGCACGCAAAAAAAAGCTGGTTTACAGTAATTTGAAATCAGATGGAATCCATCTATATTTTGTCCAGTTTCACACTCAGGCACTGGACCTATATATACACTGTAGTCTACTGTGCTGAGCTGTAATTTTACCTTTTAGCTTCTGCAAAGTCACCTTGGACACAGTCCGAAGAAAAGGTTCCATGGAGCAAGCAATGTAAGATTTAATGACTTCAAATTAAGTTGATAATACATTGATGGTTTTTTACTTTTTTCTTTTTTTTTCCCAAAACAAATAAATCAATCAAAATCAAATGTTTTAATTAGCTAATTTGTAAACATTTAGTGTCGAAGTTGTGTCCAGGGTTTTCCATAATTTTGTTAGTAGTAGGCTGTGTAGTGAAAGTAGGAGGCTGGCCTGCCGTGTATGTGTAGTCGTGTACGGAACATTATTACGGAACTGGATTGGTGTAGGCGGCCAAATGATCAAAGTAGCTGGTCAAATTAGCCGGCGACCGGCTCTTATGGAAAACCCTGGTTGCGTCTCTGCATTATAATGAACAATAATAAACTTGATATGTGTATGCAAGACTCTATATTTTGTGATTTATTTTCATTTTTTATGCTAAGAGCATTTTCATTGAAAATTGTAGTGCTGGAATTTTAGTATGTAACAGAATAACTAGTTCTTTTCTCTTCAATCACAGGCAACGCCATCCGACAGAATCAATCAGATATATGCATCTCTGAGGAAAACTAGAAAGACTGATACTTCACTTCCTCACTCAGACCATAGTGCTAGCTTTTCCCACAACAGCAGTTTTGCTTGTAGTTCACCACATTTAAACAGAAGTTCGGATTCTGTATTCAGGACTCCAGTTCAACGCTTGGTTGACAGAGACGCAAGTTTTAACAGGGTTACATCAGATGTACAGTTCTCTAATTGGAACAGAAATAGCAATTACATCAGCAAATTTTCAAATGTTCTGGATAATGAGGAGAATTTGAGACCCAATAAAGGACTTTATGGGGATACAAGAGACAAGTTTAACAGAGAATTTACAAGAGGAGCCCATTCACATGTTTCCCTTAGGGAAGGTAATTGTAGAAAAAAATTTGACTGTGATGATGAAAATGGTGAAAACATTGAAGGTGAGTCAGACTTAAATTACAGACAGTATCATCAAAACAGGTACAGTTCTGTTCAAGGTGTTTGTCTAAATTCTGACCAATTACAATGGAGATATGGCAGTGAAGATGAAGACAATACACGAATGTCTGGTTGTCAGTGGGACAAGTCAAGGTCTGATTTGGGAATTCAGAATGAGGAAAGGCACTTGAGTTACCAGGAAAAGGACCTACTTTCTTCCCCTGTCATACCTATGCATGGGTTTGAACGCCAACCATCTCACACTCGGGGACCTGTGATGCCTGATTTTAGGGACCAGAGACACCAACATTACAAAGACTCAAGGTCAAAAGGTTAGAGATAAATATGCATTCTAGCAGTGGTCATATCTCTATATAATCAATAGTATACTCAGTTCAGACGAGGTGACCTTATATAGCTCGTAAATGTAGAGTCAAAAGCAAAAAAAAAGTATTAGTATAAGTATCAAGAAAGTAAAGATTAAAAATTTGATTGTTGAAAGCTCTTTGAGATGAGAGTGTGTTTGTATGTGCACATGGAATAAATACAGTTAAGAAAGAAATGTACATGTAAAGTTCAAGGTAAAGGTAAGTCTGTTTCTCTCTTACTTTAACTATACATGTGATTTATTATATAAATCTAATCAAAAGTCCAAACACGAGTTTAGCAAGAAGTTTAGAGTTATTGACGTTACAATATTTTACTGTTACTCCTTGTTTTCATTGTACTCTCAGGGCTCTCGATCTGCCAGATTTGGGGCCGATATTCGGCCCCATTCCCAATGCAAAATAGTATCTTTTTTTCCCAATTTAGACCCGAAGTTTTCCCAATTCTAAGGAAAACGTTATTTTTCCCAATTCTAAGGGCTCTGAGCCCCAGTCCCAAAATAGGGTGTGAGAGCCCTGACTCTGTAGGTTCAGTATAATTTGTTATCATAATTTACATAGTTCATTACTGTGTTTGGACGGTATGAGACTAATTTGTAGATTAGCGGTTGTTAACATACAATGTGGTGTTGATCTCTCAAAAATTTAATGAAGATCATGTATAATCTTGAAAATGGTAGAAGAAAACTCAAAACTTTTCTGGACATGATCTTGCAGAAGAAAGTAATAGAAGCGAAAACAGTTATAACGAAGACAGGGAAGCAATGGCTGAAGCTGACAAAGGATCAGATAAAGAGAGACATAGCAGTGGCGGTGAGTTCAGAGAAGTTATCTAACTTATCATGTTTTACAACAATATCTAAAAGAAATCGAAATTATACAAAGTTGTAATGCAGATTATTTGCCCCAATGGTACCACACGTGAGTATAAAAGGCATGGTCAATTACTTATAAGGCTCTACTTGTGCATAACTGGTGAGTGCACCCTGGCATTCTTTGTGAAACTGAAACTTGAGTGCATTGTACAAATATTTTATAACATTTTTTGATTTAAAGTATGAAATTTCATATGTACCATAGCTGTTGATTACTTAAAGAGCCAGACCCACTCCTCAACCAGATTTATTTTATATAAAAAAATTCATGATTTCCTATTTTTCTAGAGTAGCAAAAGTTTTGACTAATCCTGTAATACCGCAATTTCAAAGTAAATCGCTACCAATCTAACGTAATAAATAGTTTTAAAAAAGAATTCGAAACGACTCAGTGCTAATTCACAATTATGCGGGAAGTCCTGGCCTCTGACGCATGCGCAAAGAACTGTAAATAAATCTGCCGTCTTCCAACATGGCAGAAAGCGTACGAGGGAAGCGAGGAAGAAAGCGTGTTTTGATGGACTCTGAGACGAAAAGAAGGAAGATGGCTCTCTCGTGTAGCATCACTCTATAATCATATTCATAAATACTCTTATCATCGAATATTCGCTTTAGATAGATCCATTTTGCAATGTTCTATATGTCGTTACCGTATCGTAGCCCCCATTTGAGGGCCTCTTTGCATTTAGTCATAGTTTTTCTCGTAATCTTCACGTTTTTGTGTCATATCTAAGCATTGAAAGATGTGATCAATACATAAGTTAGATGATTTCCATACAGGATATATAGAGTATTGATTGCATTTATCGGTAAAATCTCTTTACAAGGGATTTCACATGGACGTACTACTCACCTCTTTCTACATTTTTGTTTTGGTTCTGACCGCGTCTGAACGTATCACGTTACTTTTCCTCATCAATATTCATATCTTGGTGTTGATTAATGAGACTAAAGTGTCATATCATATTTGGATCCCCCATCAGAAAAGGATCCGGATAATTTTTCTGGCCATCTGATCCCCCCTATACTATTTCAATCCCCATAAAGAGAGTTTATATTAACAATGCATATATGCATATATTTAAAGTGATAGTGAAAATGTATACATATTTAAGCCCCTGTCAATCACTACCTGTACAGGGTAATCTGGAGCTTGACCTCTTCAGCCTTGGCTCCACAGGTGTTATGTAATCACACCTGTACAGGTAACCCAAGTATCAGTGACCAAGTCCCAGACACAGTTACCTATCATATCTCATTTTATTTAAAAAGCTATAAAGTTTAAAATAAAATTCACAAGGGGGATCAAAATACTATAGGGGGGATCCTTTTCTTATGGGGGAAAAGCGATCCCCGGGTCCTTTTCTGATGAGTGAAAAGTGATCCGGATCCTTTTCTGATGGGGGATACAAATATGATATGACACCGGCTCCGATATCTCCGGTACCCTTTCAATTTCAAGTTCGAAACTTCATATAAGTCTTTATTTATATATTATCTATTAGTATACAACAACATTTCCAGTCAATAAAATATGAAAAAAATATCTATAACGGAGTGGGTCTGGCTCTTTAAGGTCTACAGCATATAACATATTGGTATAGTATTCAGTTAAGCCAGATGTGAAATCAACTGACGGCTAATTTGTATACCTTCCCTACTTTCATTGGTTGAAGGAGATTGTCAGAAGATGGCATGAAAGTTATCCTTTTCTACCTTAAGAGTTAAGGAACTCAATTACTCCACTTAAAAATGCCAGTCTTCAGGGAGAGATTCTGGAATGTTCATTCAGTTGCTCTGGTGAGGTTGAATAATCTCACTACTTCGGTTGAATCTTTTGGGGAAGGGGAAGATTTTATGCACTGATTCTAATTCAGCTTTTAAGGAGTTTTAAGATTGAGCATTTGTGTATAACTTGCCAGGTTATGAAAGAGCAGAATCAGATGGCAGTGTCAGTGACATTGACCTTATACCAAGCACTGATGATGCCACCCCACTTAGGTCCACTAACCACAACAGTGTCACAGAGAATCCAGGCCACATTGGAGACCAGGACCTCCAGTCTACCTCCTGCCAAGGTGAGTGTTGAAACAGATTGTATTATTGACATTTTTGTCTGGCAGTAACAAAGTCAACATTACTTTAGGATTATACAGTGTTGCCATCTGTCAGCATCTATATGTACGAGATGTGAAGAAGTTCTAGTCAGTTCCTCAGAAAGTATATGTACTTAGCATTACTAAAGCAGTGAAATATCCTACATTTATTGTAAGATCGGAAGATTGGGCAGCACAGTGGTAACACTCTTGCCCTACAACTAGGCAATCAGAGTTTGATTTTTGGAACGAATGTAACAAGGGATGGGGTTTTCTGTCCAACCAAGTGGGTTTCTCCACACAAAGAGACCCTTAACATGCTTCCACAGGGGCCAATAACAGTGATTAATGTAAGCGAAAAGCTGGTTTTGCAATTGTTGTGAAATAGTTTATACATTTTGTACTTATATTTATAGTAAGATCTGAGGGTGTACAACTAAGATACTGATAGAAAAATAGAGGCATGGGATTTTTTTGTAATGTCTCTTAATAGTGATTAATTAGATTTATGTTTAAGTATGGGAAACCATTATAAAATCCATTCCTTTTGTATTGTTATAACATAGACACAGAGACTGACACAGAAGTTACTCTGGCACATCCCGGAGCCACAACCATGGCTGAGGAGGACACAGAAGAACAGGACAAGCAACATGAAACAGAAAATGACAATGAGAGCTTGGGCAAGAAAGATGTAGGCAGCAACGATGGTGATGAGGAGGAATCAGACACCAGAGAGGAAAGTGATGAGGAAACAGCAGATGACACGATAGAGGATGGGCAAGGTTTTTGTTATCATTATACTCATGATATGTAGGATCTATGGAATTATTGTAAATCTCACTGGTGCTTCTCGCACATAATGGTTTAAACTGATATCATCTTTATATGTGGTTTCAATGTCAACAAATTTGAAATAAAGAAAGTGATGTTGAGTTACTATAAATGAACTTGAATTGACAAAATAAAATTTGAGCACATCACTTTATTTTGTTGACAAATTAGTATCAGAAATGTACTTGCACAGCCACAGTAATTGTTATATGAAAAAAATGTACAGAAATACAGAAATGGGAACTAGCAAGATACTTTCATTGTGAAAAGCAGTTAAAAAAAGTTACTACTGAAATATGTAGATTTATAGAAATATACTTTGAAAATTATACATATGATCAATGGATGCCAATACTTACTTAGGAAAGCACCTCTAGTAATTTGGTTTACTATTTGTCAAAAGATGGAGCAGAGATGGAAAGTGGAACTGATAAAGTGACAAACAAAAGAGAGAGGATGCTGTTCGAGTGGATCATTAAACCTGTGCAGACAGCAAGAGGAGTTTGTGTGGAGGGAAGACAAAGGTAGACAAGCAAAACATGAGAAAAGTGTGAACAGAAATGTCACGAAAAGAACTTGCCTAAAGATTGTCTCAATTGCTTTTAATTAATATGGAGAGATTCAGTTAAAACATTATCAAAGATATTCATGCACTATCAAACCTGTGTTGAGTGGTCACCTACAGGATACCATGGAATTCACTGCTTATGACAATTATGAACACTATTACAGGGTGGTCGGGTGGCGCAGTGGTAACGCACTCGCCTTTCACCTAGCCGACCGGGGTTCAATTCCCGGAACGGACGTGAAAAGGTAGGGGGTCACCTGCTCGACCACGTGGGTTTTCCCTGGGTACTCCGGTTTCCTCCCAGAATAAGACCCCTTGCGCGCTTACATCCGGGCCAACAAGAGTGATTAGTATAAGTTGACATAACTTGTTTCGCAATTGTTGTAAAATAAATAAAGTTGGTATTTATATTTTTATATAACATTATTACAGCTGACAACAAACTTATTACATTCATATTTATGATTAATCTTATATGCTATTCATAATTGTTGTTATTATTATACAGTTTAATAATCGATCATATTGAAAGCACGTTACGTTATCAATGGTAGATTATCAAAGATACAAAAAGTTTGATAATGTCTTTGTGAAGTTGATGAAAAAAAATTATGAATGAATATCTTCATTTTTGTACACTGACTTATTTTTTTAGTATTAAGTGTAAAAAAATTAATGATTAATTTCTTTTTGGGAAATTTATTTGGTTGTTTTCTTCTCTAGAACAAATCATTTGTGATATCAATTGAAAATATATGCTCATTCAACATGTTTGTTTTTGTTTTTATGAGTGGTCTAATAACACTGCTTGTTTCGTTTGCATGGCTTACAAAACCACTTTGAATTACAGCTTTCAAGCTAAAGCAATAGTGACATCATTTCGTAATCTTACCATATACTGATTTATATTAAATGTGTGTAGATTTCTTGACGTCTTCGTCAAACTTGGTGAAAATCCCCAAATTCCGCTAGATCTTTCACCATCAAAGTGATAGTCACCATGATACACTAACGAATTGGTGTCAAGGTTGCATCGACCTCAATAAATAACCACTGATGACAGTTAAATGCTTAAGCTGGTTTGACTGTACAATAAAATCAAGTAGCAAAATTATTTGCTTGATTGTTTTTTCTTTTACAGTGAATCAGCGAATGAAGAATTTTGGAAAAGTTCTCTCATAAAGGAAAGAGTAAATAAAACTACAGTTAAAACAGCATCAGGCACTGTGTATAAGCTAATTGGTGATATAGACAAGGTGTATGCCTTAGATGAAGGTAAGTATATCCACAGACTACTATCTATACATGTGAAATGTTTGTATATGGAGGTAGATAGGGACTATGATACAGAGTTTAATATAGATGGTGATAGACTAAATGTTGGATGAGGTGATGTACAGGAAAGCCATAGGTCATAGGTCATATTGGATGTTCTGTGTTAAAAGGTGTATTTCTTTGACATGGTTGTGTGCGAAAGTTCATTATTATTTTACTAAACCAATTTTGTCCGATTTGGCAAATCTTATGACTATAGAGTATATCAGGCTTAAATTCATTAGAGTCTTGCTTTTCCAAAATTCGAAAAAAATGTATATGAGGGTGTGTACAAAAGCTTATTATCATTTTACTTGACTAATTTCAGTACATTTGTTCAGTTTCGTGTGTTATGATTTTCAGGTTTCCCCAAAAAGCTTGTTAATGCCTTCTGTTACGGTTTTCCTAAGAACTGGGAACAGTTGATAGCTGATCACTTTGATAAAACTGAAATGTAAGTATAGCTGCAAAGTCCCTGTTTGTTTGGAGAAATTATTTGTAGCATAATATTCTGATGATCGTCACAATTAAGTATTGCTTGAGACAGGTGCAAGTCATAGGTAAAGTTGTGATATATATTGTAACCATAGCAACAATGTTATTTTTTTCTGGTCAGACTTGAAGACTCTAATGAAGATAGTCAAGAAGAAATAACAGTACACAAGAAGCCTGATTCAAAGAAAACCAAACCAAAGACCATTAATTTGAAAGACAGTAAGCAGAAGTTCACATCGCCTGTGAATCTCAGAGAAAGACAGAATGTGGCAAATTCTGATACACTTGGTGGGTGTAAACAATCAGTTACATTGTAGTTTGTTTGTGGACTCGCAACATTTTTTTCTAGTTGATAAGCAGTCATAAAGTGATATATCGATAATGTGGTGCTATCTCAAATTTAAATGTAAACAGTTTTAAAAATTTAAGTTCAAAATTTATTTGTTTGTAGTTCGTGCTGGTTTCACTAGCTAATATGATTTTTAATGAGGAATAAAAGTGTGATTTCAATATTGCGAGCTGTTTGTTTAAGGATTTATATCTATGTTGTGACAAAAGTAGCACAACTCTTATAGGTCTGTGGTGAACAGGGCTGTTATTAACTCATGCCTTCTTGCAGCATAATGATTAACTGTCTTTGTTACAATGAGACAGAAAGGATAGAAATATCGTTTAACATTGCAATCAGAAAAATTTTCATTGTTTTTTTCTGTTATATACAGTATGTACCCCAGTTGGTCAATTTGTGGATCTGAAAAATCTTCAGAAGACAAGGAGTGGCCGTATGGTCAAGCCACCGTTATTTTGGTGGATGGGCCAACAGATTGTAACCGACAGCAACAAAATTGAGTTGTCTACTGCCACATCCCACGCCAAAGATCACATACAGGGTATAGCTCATATCTATAGCGGTAGTAATACTAAGGTAATTATATATAGTCAACATCTTTAATGATACATGCACATACAGGGTGTCGCTCACATCTGTACTGATACATACACATACACGGTGTCGCTCACATCTGTACTGATACATACACATACAGGGTGTAGCTCACATCTGTACTGATACATACACATACAGGGTGTAGCTCACATCTGTACTGATACATACACATACAGGGTGTAGCTCACATCTGTACTGATACACATACTGATACACATACAGGGTGTAGCTCACATCTGTACTCATACATACACATACAGGGTGTAGCTCACATCTGTACTGATACATACACATACAGGGTGTAGCTCACATTTGTACTCATACATACACATACAGGGTGTAGCTCACATTTGTACTCATACATACACATACAGGGTGTAGCTCACATCTGTACTGATACATAATACATATACAGGGTGTAGCTCACATCTGTACTGATACACATACAGGGTGTAGCTCACATTTGTACTCATACATACACATACAGGGTGTAGCTCACATCTGTACTGATACATAATACACATACAGGGTGTAGCTCACATCTGTACTGATACATAATACATATACAGGGTGTAGCTCACATCTGTACTGATACATACACATTAAAAGTATTTAGGAGAGACACTTACAGGATGTAGTTTTGATATTTAAGAAATAGCCACACATTTACAAGGTTTAACTTGCATTTGAAACCAGAATGATTAAGTAGACTACAGTAGTTGAGTAAAATTGATTGAATACAATATATTAATAAATTATGTCCTATTAAAAGATTTGTACTGTTGGTTGTACTGAGGTGTAATATTTCTCCAAGTCACAACAATAGGTGAAAAGAAGTAGGGAAGTTCTATGTCATTTTTCTTGGTATCTGGGCCAAACATTTGTGAACTAACTTTATTATTTGAGATTAACTGAACTTATTCAAGATAGTAAGAAAAATCCTAATGCTCACCTGCCATAGATCCATGGCCCATTTGTACCTCATATTGCTCATTTTACGAAAGTAAATGTGAATTTAGGTGAAAGTTCAAGTATATTAAAAGTCATTTCTCTGCAAGCCCAGTATATAGAATAAGTTTGTGAAAGTAAAGACTTCAGAGGTTAAGCAAGCTTTAAATTCTATTAAAACTAGATTTTTTACTTTCATGACATGTGGCTTTGAAGTTTCAGGGAAAGAAGAGGTATAGTCTCAACAGGTCATACAATACCAAGAAAATACAATTAAACAAGTCGATGAATAAGACTGTCGGGAATGTTCTAGAGATGGAAAACTCATATAGGAAGGTTGCATGGACATCCAGGAAAAACAACAGGTTGAGCAGTAATTCAGAGAAAGAGAAATCTTGTCAAAATGGAAAAACTGACAAACGAAAAAAGGGAAAGCAGGATGAAAACATTGACCCAGTAAAACCGATTGAAAAGGCGCTACAGAAACGTAAAAATAACCGATTGAAACGTAAACCTAGAAAGGGTAAGTGTTATGATAATAGTGATTCTACGTCAAAGAAAGAAGAATCCCAAATCAGTGATGTATATGCCATCAGTAGTGGTGAGGAACAGACTGCAAGAGGCAGACAAACCACAACTAAACGTAAACAAAGATATACCAAAAAGATAACAGGTGGAAAACAGTCTTCAAATGATGAGCAGAGTCAGTTAGAAATGAGTAATGATGAAAAGGAAAGGAAAACAAAACGTAATAGTAAGCAATGTGATAAAGGAAAACAGAGTGAAGCAGTTTCTGGGGTCAGTCAAGAGAGTGAAGATTCAGACTTTCGAGTGACCAGGTCAAGGGTTTCTGTGGGAGGTTCTGGAACTGTACAACCAACTCTCTCATATAAGAATAACACTAAAGTCACACGACGTTCAAGGTCACGATCACAAGACTCAGATTCAACAAGATCACAATCAAAACAAAGTGAGCTTTCAGGAAGGAGGATGCCAAAGAGGACTCAAAACCACTCTGACTTGAACAGTAATAAACTTTCAAAATCACAAAGGAAATTAAGGACTTCAGCAAAGAAAACACCTACGACTATTTTGGACTATTCATCCTCAGAGGAATATGCTTCAAACAGACAGAAAAATAAATCAAGAAAAAGGGCAACATCAAAGTCTAACAAGTCGCGTGAAACAGAAGATTCTGATAGTGATGGTTTCAGTCAAAAGACAGGAACTGTTGTTAAAAATAGAACAGTTTCTCGCTTAAAGGACAAAGAGGACAAAGACCGTACAAAAGCTGTTAGTGTATGGTCTTCACAAGAGGTGAAACGTCTGAATCAGTAAGTTTACTGCAATTTTTGTCATGCCTGTGACGAACAGTCACGAATGTGAGACTGGTGTTACAGTGTCATTGTTATTGTCATTGCGGTGACAGTGTCATCATCACGGTTTTGTGTTCAGATCTGATGTTTAGGAAGTATAACCCCAACATTAACCAAATATGGTATACAGCTAAATCACATAGCGATTATGTCAACATACTATCACAAACAAAAGTATGCTTCACATTTTATGGTCCAGCAGCTGTTATATTTAGGGATGATGAGAAACTGGACTTAAAAACCTTGTTTTTTTGCTCAGTTATCTCATTAAAAGAAAATGCAATTCCTACCATACTTTGTGTATAGTAAGATTATCATCTGAACCTACCAAATTTTCAAATTTTAAATTTTTTGTGTATTTGGAGACAAAATTTCAGATTTTGAGAAATGACTACAAAGTCTTTATGGCTTGCTCTATTCACTTGAGATTTAGTTTTTATGTTATTAATATTATTTAAAATAAACATGGTATATAAAATTAGTTTTTCAAATGGGTAAGGGAGTGGAGGGGGAAGACATAGATTAATTAGATTAAATTTTTGCATTTTTGCTTGAAAAATTACTATACTAATAAGGCAGGACAGGTGAGACATTTAATTACACAAAATTTTGGATATGCAGATCATGATAGGTATATTGCAAACACATGAAATTATTAATATCATTATCATCACTGTAGTTAACACATATATCATCATCATGAACAAATCGGAAGGGGTAAGACTTCAGGTATGATAAATCATATTTAACATATTGTCGGATGATCTGTAGATGTTTTGTACACAATGATGTAATTAATAGGACTCAGCTCTCATTCAAATTATGAAACGTTTATTCTGTTTAAGGGTAAAGGTTGAATGTGTACACAACCTACATGTGCTTTAGTGTTTTTATATTTCTATATTGGCTATCTATTTACTGACATGTTACTGATATAGTGCATATTTCATACCTATCATTCTCTAATTTACAGTGTCATATTGTATAAACTGTGTCTTAAGTATGGTGACTGTTGATGTATTGTAGAGCTGTCTCCAGTATACCAGCAGATCACCCAGATTTCTGGCACTTGGTGCAACAGAAAGTGATGACAAAAACTGAAGAAGAATGTCAGAAACACCACTCGAAAGGCAGTTCTGTGAGAAATCCGAAAAAAAGAAGTGACGAAAAATCTGAAAATCATGGTTAGTTGATTAAAAATGCAAAAGGAATGAATATGTATATCACAGTATCAGTTTATAATTTCATAAAATATATTTTTGTAATATATGTAATTTCACACCTTTGTCAGTTGAAAACACCTGTGACATTGACAAAAATATCCCCAAAAAAAGATACAAAAAAAATTAATTCACCTTGACATTCAGGAACAAAATGTGTGCAAAAGTTTTTTCCCATTTATTTATATTTCCAGGGTGTATTCTCTCTTTGGCCTTAGCATCAAAATTGATGTTTACACTACCGTGTATGTCAAGTCTGACATCTTTTCCAGCCAAAATGAAATCTGCTATTTTGCCATTCCAGTAGTTGTCAGGCTTTAAATGTTAAATGTATAATAAGAAATGATTTTTCCTCCTTTTTTATGTTTACTGGTGTATAAACTACAGGTATCTCAATAAGTATGTAAACGGAAAATTTGAAATGCAATTTACACACCAGTAAACAAAAAAAAAGAAAAACCATTTCTTCAATTCTGAAATATAATTTTAATAAAGACTAGTGAGAGATCCTATATTGATGTACAAATTTTCAGAAACTTTTACAATTTTATGTAAATATGATTTATAGATAGAATTGACAACTTGTTATTTACACACTGGTATGTGTGGTAAACACTGTTATAAATACACTATTTCTGTTTGTCACTTGGATATACATACAGAACTGTACATCTGTTTAATGTCTTTTCAGGAGCCAGTGACAAGGTTAGGTTGACAGCGAGACAAGGCACTATGAAACGGAAACAGCAGCTGAGGAGTCTGATGGAGCAGCATAACGAGGGTCACGAGGATGACTTGTGTGATGGTACGCCGTTCAGGAACCGCATCAAGAGCAAGGTGGAGACCATTTATGTGATGTCTGAAACACTTGATAGTCATGATGTATAAAACTATGTCCTGTTTCACAAAGGCATGATGGAAAAACATAATTTGTTTTTAAGGTTGTCATTGCTGGGGAAAATTTCTGTTTTCTAACGGAATTGAACAAATTGCAAATCTAAGTTTGTTTATATCCCTTATTGAATGCTGTATTCCACTGTGTTCCCAAAAATACCTAATTACATAACTAATGAAGGAAATCCTTATCCAATCAAACTTGTCAGACTGACTAAAATAATATGCAAATTAGATAGCTATATTTAGCCTTCAAATCTCATAATGCTTTGCACTTAGCACGTGTAATCATGAACAAATACTGAGCAATTTCTCGGGCTGATTTTGTCTGCATCCTGCTGAATTCTTAATAAGTACTGATGTTAGCTTAATATGGTCGTGTAGTACAGGTAGAGATTTATATTTAAAGAACTGTCTTGTTATCATTGTTATTAAGAGATATTTATCATACAAACTCTTCCACAATTTGTTGTACTCTTTGTTTTGTAGATGTAGCATTGTTTCCGATACACATCGTCACTGTTCTATATAAAGCCTGAAATCTCACTATTTTTAGGACAATTTTTTCCTGGTTAAGCTAGACCCCTGATTGTCTGATAATATTCAAGAAAACAGGAATTAACATCTGAGAGCTCTGCCATTTTATGTAGGAAAATTGAAAGTTTGCCTATATTTTGATTAGATGGGGCGGGGAAGACTTTATCTCGGAATTAGGTTTAAGTTATGTCCCTGTCGATATGACAAAAGAAGTTTTTTTTACAACATCTCCTTCAGAAATTACGTAGGTCATATGTTCATCATTCATATGTCATGTGACAATCAGATGACAATTGTAATTATACTCCTTCCTAGTCGATTTATATAGTAATAATTTCATCTGTGTGTTTTATCTATAGGTCCATATGTGCATTTATCAGTGCAAAGCTTGTATACAAGATATCTCATGATACCGTGGACGGATTAAAAAATTGTCAGCTCTTTTCAGGTGCCGAGGATGGGGAAAGACAATGAGGATGAAAATGAAGAGGACCTCTTTAATGAAGTGAAGATGAAAAATCCTAACATTGGCAATCAATGCCACACACCTGTAGCACATTTTCATATTGAACCTGTATCCCAAAAGAAAACTCCATTCAACCTGCTCATCAGCCCAAATGAGCCTGTTAACAGGTGAGCTATGTCGACAGAACTTGATGTCATCAAGGAAATGATTAGCAAGCTGGTCTGACTGAGTAGTATAGGTAGATATACATGCAGAGAACTAAGGTATATTTGACCACTTTTTCTAGAGTTATGGCCCTTGATATTTAGAATTCTCCAGACAGCTTGTCAATAAAAACATATTTTTAAAGAAAGGTTAAGACTTAGGACTTAGTGCAGGAGTACCTTTGTTTTATCAAGATGCATGTAAGTATAACTCACATCAAACATGTCACCTTGATTATTACAGGAAGGAAATGGATAGATACATTCACAGAGTGATGAAGCGGCGCCGATTAGGCAACAAACAGAAAGGGAAGAAAGATGTGCTTAAAACACCAGTCAACAAACCTATTTCAAAATATGTAAGTATGTGAGCTATGACTCGAGGGCAAAAACGCTGAGCTGTGGTGATGAAAAAACCTTCATTAGTGCGATTGCTTAATGATTCATCACTCATGATATGATGTTGGATTATTTTTGACATCGTCCTATCCTTAGAGACGTTTTTCAGTGACTTGTCATTATCAATTTCTCAACATAAAAATCTATATTCATCATTTGTTCCCTTGGTATATATTCTAGCTGTCATTTTTCATTAAGAGTCCATTGTCATCAGTCTACACAGATCAATAAACAGACTATTGATTGCAGTGTTTATGAGAAGACATTCGATAGTCTTTCTTGTTTCGTCCCGGCAGGGACTCTGAAGGGAGAATATGGCGTCACTTTACTTACAATATCGACCAATGATGAACATTTAGACCAGTACTTTGTCAAGTATCCTAGCCATCATCTGTTGTATAATTGGATCGTTGGGTGTTCAAATCAATTCATGGTGAAATAGATATTGGAATACTAATTAAAATATTATTTATGTTTCTGAATCCCGAGTGGAGACATCTAAAATATTACAATTAACACTGTGGACAATAAGATTTTGCTATGATTAATGAAGTATTCAGTAGAACGATGCAGGCCCACTGGGCCTCTTGTTGTCTGTGCTACATGTTTCATTCATATTACTCCTCATGTTAACATTATCATTCCCTTCTTAAAGGACAAAGATGAAAATTCTACACCTACAAAAAACCTGTTCGATGTCACACTAGGAGGTGTTGACAGTTTGTTGATGTCTAAAGAGAAGTCCGACTCAGACAACCATGCCGACTCCGATGAAGATAGCGACTACTACTGGACAGACATGGACCAGTGACCAAGCATGAATATTTTTCAAATTTGTCAAAATCTCAACTCTGATGAGGACACACAAGCTCTCAATATACAAACTGGTCTGTGATCTTCTTTAATGTGATCTAGATGTCGTTGACATGTTTCGACCGCTGTGTGGCCGTTAGCAGGTCCTGATGACAGCCATGTAACGGTTGAAACATGTCGACTACTGTGGTTTTCAGCACAATTCATGCAGGTTTGTAGGAGTATTTTGTGTTAATATTTGTATATATTGTACGATAAATATTTCTGTGTAGATAAATATCTGTTAATATGTGCAGAAAATTCATGTGAACGAGCCAATCCTGTACAATTATACAAAAAGGGATAAATAGTCATCTGTCAAACACAACAGTGACTTCTGTTTTCCACATTAATTAGATGATTTCCAACATATAGACATAAACAGGTAAGTTTTCAGAAATTGTTTCATTTGTTCAGGTATGTGGATGTATAACGTGAAATGTAATTACAGTGTGAGGAAGTTACAAAAACTACTCCGTCATATAATTTAATAGTTAATGTCCAAGGAATACTGTAATTTTGTATAGCTCCAGCTGTATATATTGCTGTAGAGATAAGTATGATGTATAGTGAGTACAGACCCTGTACTGAAGATTATCATTTGATATTAAAGTCAGTACATGTTTGAGATTAGACTTATGGGATGTGGAGTGTGACCTGTGTACATCAATTGGTATTATCATTATTCAAATAAGGTAAAATCCTAGATAAAATATGTTGGTTTAGATAATTTAGTTATTTTTTTCTTGAATTTTTTACAGAAGGTGAGTGTATTTATATAGTCTGAAGGTGACACCAACAGAAGTTTTATTTTTGTATGAAGTCCATTTTGTAAATATATGAATTGTAATATGTTTGCCAGCATTTGATTTTGAAAACTGTTTCCATAAGATGTAGGGAAATTATTTTATAATACACTTTATGTCCTTTGTGTTTCCTATTAACTTAAAATGTTGTAATATATACCTTGTACTACAATGTACTAAAATTGTACCGACCTTGCAAGAAGGTGCTGATTTTAAAGACAACTTGTGTTCTTTTTTATTGTGAAAAAGTGTAGTCTATTTATTTTTCTTTCCTTTTTCAGCTGTAATTTTAATTCCAGCTCAATTTTATGTAGTAATGATTAGGAATCATTAATTGTTCAAACATCCATAGTATGACTGGAAAAGTGATTAGAGTGAGTAATGGTGGTGTATAGAAAGTAATATGTCATATTTCAAAGGTCATCAGTAAGGTTTTGCACGTTTATAAAAACGGGAAAAATTTTACTAAAAGTCAACTATTTATTAATTCTTTGGAGTTTACCATGTTTGTTGATATGTCATTGTGTTTAACTGAATCCGTACCCAAAGTGTTGGTGTATTAAGGAAATTGTGTACCATTTAAAACAACTTTGGAAATTGCTGGTTGTTTCTAGAATGAGGATGAACTGTTTATAGCTGTACGTATCTCATACTTTAATTTATTTATAATTTGACTCAATTCAAATTTGATTTAATTTAATAAATAAAACTCCATTAAATGCTAATTTAAATGCTTATTTAAATGTTAACATCATCTTACAAAATTTTCAAGATAAATTGAAATTCAGTTTAAGCAGTATTTTCAATGAAACAAAACATATTGTATCAGAAAAAGGATATTTATGAAATGAAATAAATGTCGCATAACTAAAGCAGTTACTAGTTTTGTATTTATTTATGGCTACTGAGTTTGTTACGGTGAACAACCTTGACCCATTTTTTGTAAAGGTCAGATAAAATAATCTGAACACTGAAAAGGCCTTGTGTCATGTGATATTAGTCAGTAGACTCCTTAGATAGAGGGTTGTCAAGTTGGTTTAAATGAATGGCCTGTACCCACTTTCAATGTCACACACCATGCATAGGACAGTGACGCCCTACAAACCAAATGACCTAAGGCCATGTAATTGATGCAGGAGCATACTTGGATGAATGACCTAACTGTAAGGGTTACAGGTGTTAAGTTTTTATTTGGTTTGATGTTGCTTTACTCCCTATTAAGAGTCAGGGTTATTTAAGGACATGTCAGGTTTGGATGGAGGAGGGAAAGCTAGAGTTCCTCAAGAAAAAACACTGACCATCGTCCAGTTCCTAAACTACATGGCCAACGAATATTCAAACAGATTTTGAAAAACCAAGAGACACAGAGTCATGACACGTCATCTTTAACATACTTGAAAGAAGAGATATTGAGTTTGGGATAAGTCTGATTGTTAGTCATACTGCCACCCTCAGATTTCTTCTGTTGTGTAGACGATAACTGATTGGCATTGAAGAGGGCATTCATTTAAAAAACTGTAAATATCTTGAATCAAAATGAAGTACAATGGATGTTCTTTGTCTTGAAGTGTGTTCTGTGTATGTCTTTAAAAAGCATTGCTGTTGTCACGGAAGGACAAATAAATATTTGATAACTAGAGAACATTAATGTAGTCAAAAGTACCAAAACCACTAAGAATCCTGCAAGTGTCACTCTTTTTTAATGAATAATTGAAATCGAACCACAGTGCAGTGCCCTGGGGTCAAATACCTGTACAGTATGAATAAGTCAGGGATACATATATACCTGTACTGTTGTGATACCGGTATGAATAAGTCAGGGATATATATACCTGTACTGTTGTGATACCGGTATGAATAAGTCAGGGATATATATACCTGTACTGTTGTGATACCAATATGAATAAGCAAGGGATACATATATACCTGTACTGTTGTGTTGCCAGTATGAATAAGTCTGGGATACATATATACCTGTACTGTTGTGATACCAGTGTGAATAAGCCATAGATACGTTAATATTTGTGCTGTTGTGATACCAGTATGAATAAGTCAGGGATACATATATACCTGTGCTGTTGTGATACCAGTATGAATAAGCCATGGATACATATATACCTGTTCTGTTGTGATACCAGTATGAATAAGTCAAGGGTACATATATACCTGTACTGTTGTGATACCAGTATGAATAAGCCATAGATATGTTTATACTTGTGCTGTTGTCATTGCATATGAATAAGCCACGGGTATATATATATATATATACTGGCACCTTGTTGCTGAGGTGACATATAAACAAGCACTAGACACATATTTAGCCGCACCCTTGTTACTGAGATGATATATAAACAAGCATTGGATTCTAATATACTTTCTTCCGCCGTAATCGCACGGATTACAGCAATCGCTATCTGGCGTTCACTCTACAACGGAAGGATTAGTTAATGTATTGATTTTATACTTTTAGGTGAGGGGGGGGACGTACATGTTCCTTTAATATACTGCAATATACCATCAGACTGATCCCTTTTGTTTTGATGAACTGAACAGAAACGGGAGTGATCCGTAAAGAGTCGACATGCTTTCTGAATGAATCCTACGCCAAGTTACGCAACGTATCGCCCAAAGCATATTGACAGTGAGCAAAAACACCAGAAATGTAATTACGATAAAAAATTGGACCAAGGACGCCTCCAAACAAACTGAAAAGGTAATGATATCCCAGTTATCTTAACACAGTTTTGAGCAGGCAGATAATTGAACAACAAATGGAAACGAATTTAGCTTTGAGAAACGAAATTAATAATAAGTTGATTCCTTATATATATATATATATATGTGTGTGTGTCTGTGTGTGTGTGTGCATGCGTGTTTTGTTAATGAAAAATAGATATTTGCGAAACACGTA